GCTGTCTGTAATAGGGATGATCACTCCATTGTCATACTCTCCTGTCCTGACTTAGTAAAAGAAAAAACTCTGTTACAAAGGCAAAGGTAGCCATGTCTATGTTTACAGACATCCTACCACAATGGGGACTCTAATAAAAATCATACAAGGTATTCAAAATCTGGCTTCTGCTTTATATTCTTCCCTCATTTCCTGTCTCCAGGCCAGTCACATAGTCCATTCCAACTGAAGCATGTGCAGTTTACAGCACAGCACTGCCCCTCCTGTCTCTTAGCTTTTCTCTTTCTCATTGAAACTCCCCTCCTGTCTTAGTCAGGGTTTCTCTTCCTGCACAAACACCATGACCAAGAAGCAAGTTGGGGAGGAAAAGGTTTATTCAGCTTTCACTTTCACACGGCTGTTGATCACCAAAGGAAGTCAGGACTGGAACTCAAGCAAGTCAGGAAGCAGGAGCTGATGCAGAAGGATGGAAGGATGGCCATGGAAGGATGTTACTTACTGGCTTGCTTTCCTTGGCTTGATCAGCTTGCTTTCTTATAGAACCCAAGACTACCAGCTCAGGGATGGCACCACCCACAATGGACCCTCCCACCCTTGATCACTAATTGATAAAATGCCTTACAGTTGGATCTCATGGAGGCATTTCCTCAAGGGAGGCTCCTTTCTCTGTGATAACTCCAGCTTGTGTCAAGTTGACACACAAAACCAGCCAGTACACCTCCCCAATCCTGTAGCTCTTCCGTTGATTCACTGGCTCTTTCAGCACATCTCCTCAGGACACATCTCTGCATCAGGTAATATGTTTGATCTTCAAGATGTAGCAGTGAGCAGAGATTGTGATCCTTAGAGGTACTTATAGCCTAAGGGGGAGGCGTAAGTGGTCAGTCCTCTGCGTAACTATGGTCCTTTCTGAGGTTCTGAACCAGGATCTTTCATCAAAGCAAAGAGAGGAGATGGACAAAGAAGGCATTCTTGTAGATGACTTTTGAGGTGGAATCTGTATGACAGATTAGACATGAACACCATATGCCTTGAGAGGACAAGAAGAAGAAGACCATCTGGGACTGAACGTGGAACATACAATCTGGTAGTTTGTTGAGTATAATGCTATCTTCTGATGAGCATGGGTAGAGAATCTGTCTCATCAAGCTCATAAAAGCCATGCTTCCCTACAGGTGGGACACGATGTCTTTGCACAGTCTCTTGTTCATGCTGCAGGGGTATGACCTGAATACTTGATACCTGCCAGCTCCTGAGCTTTCTGGCTTCTATGTTGGTTAGTCCAGCAGGGAGCACTGACTCCAGATGTTCCAGATGAATTCAGGGATACTGATGGGGACATGCAAGGGGCAGCGAAAGGCCATAAGGATTGTTTCTTACATATGCTTGCTTGTTGAGGAAGGAAAGATTAAAAGAAAAGTCTGCAGTGATGCTATATGTATTCCTTATCATCTGTTTATTTACACACACACACACACACACACACACACACACCCCTTCAGATTCTTTTCCCAGAAAATCAACTTAGTCCAGCTTTGTCCAATCACCAAGGCACAGTCCTTTCCTTTACAACTGTTTTTCTCTAGCTACGATCCCCCCTCTGCTTATGAGCCATCTCACCTCTGTAGATGTAATCCTAGTTGCTTCAAGGGAACTAGCCCAGGAGTCCTGTGATAAGCTTGGGCACTGTCACTGCTACTTCTCTGTAAAAATCTTTTGTTCATAGTTTCCATGTGTTATCGTTACTGAAATTCGAGTGTCTTACTCCTGTCGAGAGGGTCCCCTCCTCCTCCTGGAAAATAGCATTGTTGTCTAGGCTCTCACTTCAGTAGTGACAAGCTACATATGGGTACTGAGCATCCGAAATGTGGCTTCAGTGAAGGTATGCAAGAAGAGGAAAATACACCGGTATCCAAAGGCTTGGATGAGAAGGAGAGAAAGAAAGAAAGAAAGAAAGAAAGAAAGAAAGAAAGAAAGAAAGAAAGAAAGAAAGACAGGGAAGGAGGGAAGGAGGGAGGGAGGAAGGAAAGAAGGAAGGAAGGAAGGAAGGAAGGAAGGAAGGAAGGAAGGAAGGAAGATGTTCCATTCTGATTTCTGCTCTTCACACAGAGTGCCACAGAGTGGGTCAATATGCATAATAGATCCATATTCAGCTTATGTTTCTGGATGCTAGGAAGTCTGGGGCCTTGGGGCCACATCATTTCCATGCACTTTGTAAACACTATGTACAATATCACCTCATGATGAACTCCAGGTGAACTGGGAGCCCAGTGCTTTCCAGAAGAGAAAAGATATATTCTGGTGACCGTCTGTACAACGACATGCTCTCAGAACAACTTTTAAATGGCCTCTGTTTTTGTTGTCTTCCTTCTACAACCCTGAACTGAAATACAAAGAGGAAAGTTTCAAAATACATTAAACCTTAAGTCAGTGTTAAGCTTCAAAGTGGTTTGTCAATATCCAATTTTCAGACATAATAGGACATGGAAACTTGGCAAGGCATGTTGCTCATCCTGGGCAAAGGCCAGTGCTTTCTGGCCTCAGAGTTTAAACAGATCGTCATTGATTAGAGAATCAACTGTGACTGGTGGTTTATGAACACAGCACTATTCTTACCCAGCAGGTCACACGTGATCCAATTCTATCCAAGCAAACTTAGAATCAGTAGGGGCCCTGTAGAGGCTGAAAGGCAACCCCCTAACTTGTACTTTCTTGGTCAAATGGGGTATGAGCAGGAAGAGGAGAAAAAATCTGAATGTCAAGGCTGGGCAGCCAGGTTTCCTAGTGAGTTTCCTGAGACCTAGCTCTCCTGACTGCTGGACTCTTATTAGCATAGCAGGTGTTAAGAGGAATGGCAGGAAAATGTCCACAGTGCACAGGGATCAGGCTAAAGTGACCCAAACACGCCCACATTGCCAGATATCTTGCAGAAGACAGCCAGGAATAAGGAAGTCATATGATTAGAACAAAAATAAAATATCTGGTGGCTGGAGTGATGACTCAGCAGGTAAAGAGCCCCGGTTCCTCTTCTAGAGGACCTGGTTGGATTCCCAGCACCCACATCTAGGTTCACAACTGTCAGTAACTCCAGGTCAAAGAGATTCAGAGCTCTCCAGCTGGCATCAGGCACCCACGTGCTGCACAGACATACATGCAGGCAAAACAGCCATACACGTAAAATAAAATAAATGAAAAGAAGTTGAAAACAAATCACCACAAAGTAACAACCAAAGAAAGCAATCAAACCTCCAACATCTCCTGCAGATTCTACTGGCCACCTCCCCAGGAGCCAGCAAGGGGCAGGTGTGTCACCCCTTTGTGACTTGCTCTAAGGGCACAGAAGGGGGATCTAGGGGTCAGGGGAAATAAGAGAAAAAGGAACTCATCGTTTAGGGAAGGACTCTTAACCCTTAAAGAGTGAGAACACATTCACACATGTTGATGGTGCACATGTGCAAAGTATTAAACTTTATCAACAACTGGTTACACAAACTTGGAATTGTAAAAAAAAAAAACAAACCCTTAATTTCTGCCTTTGGTGTATTTATTGATCTATTTCCTAAGCGATGTCTTTCTAGGTCCTACGAGACTCTTAATCCTTTTAAATAAATCCTAGGGAAAAAACCAAAAGAAGGCTTGTCAAGGGCCCTCAGTGGACAGTGAAGTAGAAAGCAAATTGGTACTGAAGCCTTCTCTTAGCCTAGACAAATGGGGGCGTGGCCTGCCAGGAACTCTTGGAAACAAAACTTGAGAAGTCTTTGGGATGAGAAGGGATGGGATGGGTGGGCTGGAGAAGGGTAGGGATGCAGAAGCAGGGCCTGAGGGAAGCAGGGTGTGGGGATCTGGGGGTGTTAAGAGTGCGAAGGGCTAAGCTGAGCTGGAGAGGTCAGGAGAACCCCTAATCCTGCAAGGGGCGGGCTGGCTGGGCATTAGACCCAGGCAACCATACAGACGCTGTCAGTCTGACAGAGGCCCAGAGACCTAGGGGTGGGGGTGGGGAGGGAGGAAAGGAGAGAGGGACTGTGGGGAAGGGGCGTCGCCTCTGTTGTCCTCGCCCTCTCCAGTGTATTGGGCGGTGCCTCGTCACCTTTTTTTTTTTCCAGTCCCACCCCTTCTGGCTCTCTAGCCCGGCCCCTGCGCCTCTGCTTTGCACCCCGGCGCGGATCCCCGGGTTGGTCTGGACTGGGCCGTTGACGTCACCACCAAGTTTGCTGTCCTTCGCGTCCCACGTGTGGCGGTAGTGGCCGAGGAGACTGCGGGGAGAGCCTAGGAGCACAGTGGCAGAGGTGGCTGACAGGTCCCGCTCAGCGGGGCCACTCCAGGCTGTTCCCAGCTGGGGTCCCAGAGGAGTGGGTAGACTTCCGGAGCGCTCAAGAGGCCAGGAGAAGTCCCACTCGAACAGAGGGAATAAGGGGGACCTTTCTTGCTCCGTCGCTGAGACGATCTGAGCCAGGACTCAGGGCACGCTCTTAGGAGGGCCTGGAGAGGAGAACGCCAGCGGCAGGGAAAAGGGTCACTCATCCTTACCGGAGCGCACACAGTTCTTTGGCCCGGGAGCCCTGCGTCCCCTCCACAGGGACCAAGCCAAGGATGCGCGATCGCTGAGCCGAGTTCCGCACCGGTGGCCGCTCAGGACCCTGCTGAGCCGAGCGAGCACCTTTGCCACTGCCGCCGCAGAGACTCCCTTGCCCGGCGACACCCGGGGACTCAGGGCGCCGAGCTCTGCGCAGCTAGGCTCAGGACTCGGGTGCGTTTCCGACCCGAGACCATGGTTTCTTAAGCACGGCCCCGCATCCCTTCCTGCCCCGTCGCCTGGAGCCCGGGACCCCAGAAGGGCTCGCGGTGCTCGGTCCCCAGCTCCTGCCTCCGTCCCGCGGGACAGCTCTCGGGTACGCAGGGGCGCTCGGGCGATGTGGCCGCGGGGCAGCACGCTGGCCGGCCCCAGGGATGGCGGGGCTCCCGGCGCAGTCCTGGCCTAGTATGGCCAGCTCCCCGTCCGACGTCCCCTCCGGCTAGGATGGCCCCCTCGGGTCCCGCCGGCGCCCAGTCCAGCCCGGCGGAGCCACTGTCGCGCAGCATCTTCAGGAAGTTCTTGCTGATGCTTTGCTCGCTACTCACTTCCCTCTACGTCTTCTACTGTCTGGCCGAGCGCTGTCCGCCCGGCTCGGGCCCCGTCGCGGGGGTCCCGGGGAGAGGCGTCCCTGCAGGACCCAGGGAACTGGCGATGTGGCCCGTGGGGGCGCCAAGGAAGCGCCTCTGGCAGCTGCGGCAGCGGAGGAGGCGCGGGCGGCCGGGGCCAGGAGACAGTAGCGACCAGGATGAGCAGAACCCTGGGCTGGCCGCCGCTCCAGGAGGCTCCGGGGCAGGAAGCAGCGTGGCCGAGGCCCAGCCGGGGACCCTGGCCTTACTCCTGGACGAGGGCAGTAAGCAGCTGCCGCAGGCCATCATCATCGGCGTGAAGAAGGGCGGCACGCGGGCGCTGCTGGAGTTCCTGCGCGTGCACCCCGACGTGCGCGCCGTGGGCGCCGAGCCCCACTTTTTCGACCGCAGCTACCACAAGGGCCTCGCCTGGTACCGGTGAGCGCGGGGACCCCATTGGATAGTTCGGAGAGCTGGCTGTGCAGAGTGGGAGATTGGAAGGGATGGCAAAGGGGAAGCAGTAGCCGTCCCCAACACAGGCTTCCATTCTTTCTTTCTTCCTTGGGGTGGGGCAGATGTAGAAAGGAAGGGGGGGTGTCTTGATTTTAATTCTCAAGACTCCTTCTCTTCCCAAACATCCTACTCCTTGAAATCACCCTAGTAATTAGATAAAGGAAAAGAAAAGGAAAGATGAGAGAGAGAGAGAGTTTCCTTTTAAGTTAGAAAACTGTTCCTCATTACTGGGTTATCTTACCAAAGGAAGTACGCAACTATTCCTCTATCTTTGGGGTAATTCCCTGTGGTTAACAGGTCTTTGCTCCGGTATTTATTTGCCTTGACAGTTTGCCAGATAGTTGTCCAAGGTGGTAAGTCATATAGAGACTTAGTAAAAGTGTCAAGAGGCCATGTAGTTTGGATAATCTATGTCTCAGCAAGTGCCAGCAACTACTGAGTTTTAAAGAACACTTTGTTGGTAATACTTTCAGCCTAACAGAAATTTTTCTAAAGATCTCCTAACAATTATCTTTACAAATAAGATAGTTAATTTTAAAGGGGAAAAAAGAATCATGGGGAATTGTGGTGGATACAACTTAGGAAGTAAATCTCATTTGCTGGGTAAGCTTATTTGTCAGTGTCAAATTCAGAACACCTATAATATCAGAGTTAGCCAAACTCTAATAAATTCTAGCGTGGCCTGGATTTGGTTTGTGGTAAAAAAAAAAATACTGATTTTTTTCCTCTCCCCTCCAAGTTCAAGGACAAAATTCATATGGTTAGAATTTTCTCATTTTATAAAGTTCAGCCTGTTCATAAAATATTCATTCTCATTATAACTAAAACAATATTAGAAAAGTTATGACACAGTTGAGATACACGGAAGGAACCATTCATAAAACACAGACAGACATGATGTGACGAGTTTATTCACTTAAAGAGTCAAGAACATGTTCAGATTGATTTCAGGAGCTGAATTTACGGCTTAGTCCTAAAAAAATCAAATTCAAACATTAAACACTTCTAAAAACAGTAACTTTCCATTCATTGGAAAGAAAACCAATCAGCCTTCCCCTGATATAGCATATATATCATTTAAAATCATCAGCCACTTAAATATCCTCCCTCCCCCCATGTTTCTGTCATTTATGTTCTATCCTCTGGGAAACTCTTATGAAATGACCTGTTGAATCTGGACAACAGGTCCTTCTTCTGAACACAAAGGCGGTTCTGTGCTATTCCTCAAGGACACAAGAATGAAGTGATTAAAGACCCCTAAAATTCTTATCTAGAGCTGCCCGAATTGAATTGGGCCTCATACAGTTCAGGGAGAGACACATTTCAAGCCATCAGGCTGAAACATCCAGGCCAGCCCTGGACTCTGAGGTACTATTAAATATAGTGAAATATTTAGTACTAACCCCCTTAACTTTTGCTTTGCCCTACTAAACTTTATTTCCACAAGGTAGGATTGTTTCTTCTTACTCCAGTAATGTCTGTTTGAAAGCACAGTATATCTACAGGCCTGGCTCTGATTTTCTGTGGAACTTTCTGAAATCATGTAAAAGCAAGAAGGTTTCAAGGTAACTAGAAACACAACTACTTGAAAAAAAAAAAGCATGGAAAAAGAAAAAGAAAAAGTCATAAACTTTAAAGGCTGCCCTGTCCTTTACTATGAAGGAAATCTCCTTGGGTTGTTTACCCAGTAGAGGAGTTCTATAAAGCAATTTATGGTGGTTAGAAAAATAACTGCACAGTAGACTTCATGGTTTGGTGAATTTAATTTTCCAAGTGTCGGGACAATGTCTTTGTTTTAGCATTCACAGTGAGTGTTAATTTTTTATTGAATGCATAAATTTAAGCTCACTGAATTATATGAAAAATTCTTATTTAAAAGGACCCAACCTGTAGAGTCTGGATTATGGGATTATTTAATGAAAATTTCCCCATAGTTTCTTTTCATCTTAACTCTGAACTTGGAGTTTGATTTTTGTGAGAAAGACTGAAGAGTGAAGTCTCAGTATGAGGAAACCCCACACAGATTGTCTTGAAGCTACTGTTCATTTTGGCTACTTATAGTTACCTAATATTCAGAACAAGGGTCTGGTTAGACTTTCCTAAGTTGTCCCATATTTGCAATATAGAATTTCTACACTCACTTAAGACCCCCTCCCCCCCCACACACACGGGACAGGGGCAGGAAAAAAACAAAAATCCAAACTTTTTATTTGCACCGTGAAGAAAGTTGGAGAAGAGAAAGATATAGGTCGTACTTTTGATGCTTATTGACACGGGAAGTCAAAGTGTGTCTAGTCTTGGCTTCATTCTCTCTCTCTCTTTTCTTCTTTCTTTCTTTCTTTCTTTCTTTCTTTCTTTCTTTCTTTCTTTC